GGGGGGGGGGGGTTGTTGATTTTTCTGGGTTTATATCTTGTAGTAGTTTGAAGTTCGATTTTAAAAGATTAACGTGGTTAAGAGTAGTCCGAAAATTTATATCTTGATTTTTATTTTTATAATTAAACTGTGTGAACATAGTGATTTATTTGAGAACTTCAATCTTGAAATTCGACTTACTCAGATAAACATTTTGGACTCTGATGTCAAATTGAGTTTTGGAGTTCTATCTTATATTAAATAGTCAACTTTGCTAAGAGAAATGATGTACCAGCGTTTATATTTCAATTAGTGATTTAACAACAATTTGGTTTAGTTAAAAAAATTAATAAATCTAATCAAAGTCAACAATTAATTTTAGCAAGACATTTTATGAGACTCATAACTTTTATCAACTTTTCAATCAAATATTCTATCAGCTTTCATTAAAATATACCAAAAATATGATTTTTAGCGAAACCGAACATGGGCATAGTGATGTTATATTTAATCAAACTCCAATAAGATGGATGATATACTTGGGATTTTTGTGAAGTGGAATCATATAGGCCATATGCTCATGTATAAGAGATTATGCTTAGCTTTTAAGTACTTAATTTCATGCATATGTGAGTGGACTTCTATCCTAACTATAACAAGAAGTAATAATGCAAAATTTGTCGATCGAAGTTGCTTATGACATGTTTGGATCGGTAAATTGTCACGATACATTATTCAGATATACAAATAGACTATCATAAAATCCCTACAGTCGAACGGTCATACCAATGTTTAATCCATAGTTCCTTTGACTAATTAATACATAATGCTTCTTTGTGATGACAGTTCGAAAGGCATTAATAAGTTGATAATGATGTGTCGAGATAGAAACATACAAAAGAGAATCAATTGGTAAGGTTATTGGCTATATGGAATAAGTGAGAGCTTCTTCCACTTGGTTTCCTCTACAAGACAAATCATACTTTATAAATCAATCCTTTTTTGCCAGAGAAGCAAAGGCTGTGGATCATTTTCGAATGCACAATCATTTCATGTCTTTTTTAATTACATATCCCATACCATGCATGCATAGAGTCATAAAAGTATGATAGAGCTTACACAAAACAATTATGTATTCACCATTTTGCCATTTAATTTGGCATCATGTGGTAGAGAATCATATCAAAATCTTAATGGAGTCCTTTAGAGGTAAGTAAAACTAGTATCACTTAACCATAAACACCACTTATTATCGCTTTTCGTAAATCGTTTTCTGGCATGTTTGATAAAGCTTTTTGAAATTATAAGTTGGTGGATTCCATGAAATGTGCTCTAATTTTTTCATTCTCATATGAGGCCTAAAAGTTGATTGGTAATACGTTAGCACGAAGTGATTTTTCATGCTCAAACAGTTACATGAGCCGATCGTTCAATTTATGGATCGTCAAATTTCTCGAAAGCAGTTGAGGTAATAGCAAAAATAAGCAAGAAAGCAGAAGCAAGATGTCTTCAAATCACTTTTGCGTGGTTAAAAGGAATATAAAAGTTGTGACTTCAAAAAATTATGTGATTAAAAATGAAATTTGATCAGCTTAAAATCTAAAATAATCTTTACCACACGAGATGAACACAAGTCTTTTGGAGTAAGAATTGCTGCATGTTATCTTACCGACACCATAATGTGCTGAAGTGTATGAATTCAATAGTTGTGGCATCATTTGCTCATATACATTCTTTAAAAAGTGATGTCTATTCAAATAGATTACATTGTACAATTATGTTTATATGCTATTTTCTTATGACTATGACAGTAATAATTAAGCACGGAAAGAGGCCAATGTTGCTTTTTTTTTTTTTCATTTTTCTTTTTCCTCATTGTATTTGTGTGAGAATGAGATTTCA